CCCCCCCCTTCAAATAATCCTGGATCCGCCCCTGCATTGTCTGACATCATGTTACATTTTACTCGTCGTCTACTAATAAATTACTGATTCAGGAAGTAGATGAAATGTCTACAAAAACATAATATTTTAAATATCTTGATTGTTAAGCAAAATCAGTGTTTATTAATTCAAGAAATTTAAGTATTTAAACGCGTGTACCGAACACCTAAATTAAATGTGTGCGAGATTCGCTCGGCTTCCGGAACTTCAGCTACAAGTAAACTGTGACTTGCAGAATACGAGAAACCTTCGTAATTAGCTAGAGATATATATACATTGTGTAACACATGATCGTACAGCCATATTCTTCACGATTTGTGTCTACAGTAAATTTATATTCACACCAAGAAGTTGTATCTCACAACTTGGCTTGAATATTTCATTAGTAACTTTTAAGTTAAAACCAGTATATTCTGTCATTATATAAAGACATAACCTATATTTGTTCATTCACAAACTGGCAACACAATTACCAACAAAAGAAATGGTAGGCCTATTATGCGCCGATTGTATTGTTGTTATTATATTATATTGTACAAGGTCAAGATAATTTATGTACCAGTACAGAAATAAACTAGATTGAATTGAATATATCTGTGAATATCTAGTCAGAAATTTATCAGTGACCCTGGTAAAGGGTATTTCTTACCCCTCGCATCTTCTGTATGTGTAATATCCCGATGTCTGGCGTCTCCTTGTCTAGGCTCGTCACTCACTAGGGTCAGCCCTTCGATCCCTGTTGGTGTTTATAGATGTCACTAATGAACGTCTTGGTTGGGTTGTCATTAATAATTAGCTATCCAGATGCTATCACACTGTCCGGGTTACTGTCGTTAACGGTCCAGTCTTAATGTTGTCAAGCGACCCGTTTTATTATACATTGTATCATTGGAAATAAGTGGGGATTTTTCCTGTTACTAATAATAGATCATGCAAATATAGCCAGGGAATTCCCGTTTGTGAGATTTAACAGACGTGCGGATTTCCCATACTGCAGATGTGTGACAAGCGGGGCCAGGTCAAGTGGTAGGTATTGACTGGCGAAAGTATTTTGCCCGGTGTGTGTGTGTGTGA